AACAACATAATATAAACATGGGCCGCCCTTGGTGCCTTCGACCCGCTAAACCCGGTAAGGAAACTCACCTAAAATGCTGAATGATAACTGGATAAATCCCAGCCCTAGAAATGAGCTCTACTAAACTCCTAAACAGAAACAATCCCTTAGATACCAATCAAAATTTCAAAACCCCATAAAGGTCAGACTTGGTCAAAGTTTAAATGAAAGTAAACGTTTCGAGTTGACTCAACTCACTGAGTTGCCCTTCAACTCGTTGAGTTTCCCCATTAATCAACAGAATCGTGAAAAGTCGATCCAACTCGTCGAGTTCACCCATGAGCTCATCGAGTTTCCCCTTTAATCAGCAGAATCAGGAAAAATCGATCTAACTTGCCGAGTTCACGCATCAACTTGTCGAATTATTCAGGAAACAGACCTCTTAATCTATTAAGTCACCATTCTCGAAACCAACAGGTCAACCACTCAGATTTAAACCAAAATGTCGCCTAGAAGGGTAAAGTTTCCCACTTTACCCTTAAGAACCATCCTAATGGGTATAGAACCCAAACCCTAAGCTTAAAAAGGTTAAGGCTTAAGCAATAAGCACTTATTCACCAAGATAAGGCCCCAAAATACAGATATGGTCTTAAAGGTTGCAAACACACGTAAGGTTTCCAACTTTACTCTCAAGTATGCTTAGAAGAGGCTCAATTGTCCAAATGAAGCCATAAGATGGACTTAATGCAAGCATGGAGCTCTTAATACAATAAAGTTGGCACCTTTATGCCAAAAGTGCTGAAGAGGTCTGTAATATGGAAGGAAAACACTTGGGATGACCTTCAACCCGCCAATCACCCAAACATGGCAAAGCATGAAAACTAACCCCAAAAAGAGATCTAGTCAAATATTGATCAATGTTAGAACTTTATACCAAAAATATGTTGGAAATCATGCAAAGAATCGAGATCTTGAAGGCTCCTACTTGAATGACCACCTTACACTAAGCTTCTCTTTCTTCCAAGGCTTCAAACACACCAAAATACACCCACAAAGGGCTCACAACACTCAAATAGGATTTAGGGTTTCGAGATTAGGATTAGGGACTTTGGAGGCTGGAATAAGGCCAACACCTGGGACTTAAGATGTTTAAATATGGTGCAAAACCCTAAAATTAGGGTTTCTTCCTAAGCGGCCAACTCGTTGAGTTGAGACATCCTAACTCATCGAGTATCCTCATTAATACCCGCGGTCAAGGCAGCTTCTACTCGATGAGTTTTAGGCTTCCAACTCGTCTAATTCTTCAAGGAAAATATAATAAATTCAAAGATAAATTCATACGGGGAACTAGGCGTTGCACACATACTTTTTCATATATAATTATATCATTATACATATACGCATAAGTACCAACATCTCTACCATCTATCGACACTTGCACTACCATTGCCACAACCACCACCACCACAACAATGTTTGCCACTATCTTCACCATTGCTGGCACCACCACACACGTCACCGCAACTACCACCACCAATACCACCACTGTAACTGCCACTGCAACCCCCACCCTTATTATCACCGCCACTCCACCACCTACCGCCATAGTCAAATATGAATAATCAATAAAGAATAGACACATATATATTTATACGAATATATTTATTCATATATAAATAAGTATAAAATTATTGATATATGAATATTCATATACGAATATACTTATTTATATATGAATATGATTGTACATTTATAAATATTATATGTATTGTCGTCAGGGTATGCTTTAACACTTAAGTGGTAGATTAAAAATATATGGTCTAAATTTGTTCTTGTGTTCTCAACTTCATAATTGTTCTCATTTGAATATTCTCTCTCTCTTTCTTTCTTTCTTTCTCTCTCTCTCTCTCTCTCTCTCTCTCTCTCTCTCTCTCTCTCTCTCTCTCTTT